TTCATAATAAATAATTCCCTTCCAGTCCAACCAAATGCATAGCAGTACCTTCCTGGCCGTTAGTGATTGTTGTCCACCGTTTGAGGTGCTTCGCCGCTCTTTGACCACGATCGTTTTCGCACAGGGTTATCGTATGTGATCCATTATTTTTTTTCATCTCCAGTCACTATCCGTTTAAGAAATGGGTCTCATTCCGCAGATAAAAATTCAATCCATCCTATTCTTTCTGTTAATTTGTGAGACACCCAAACATCGAGCATCTTTTTGAATCCAGCTTTGTGTAAATGGTTTAAAAAAAGGTTTTATGGTCGATTTTTTGCTTCTGGGCGATGTTACGACTTCTAACATGCCGGGCAACTGCGATTATTTTTCAAATTTTATCGACGACCGTCCTAATGGATTTCTTTTCCCCCAACTTAATATTAAGAACCCAGAAGTACATATTCGCCATAGGTCAAGTGTTTTAGTTATGACGTGATGAATTTTTGCTGTAATTATTTTTCATATGTCATATATTCAGTAAAATCGAATAAGACATATTTTTATAAAAATATCTGAAATGCTTCAAAGCCTTTTTTTGTCCTTATTGTCTTCAACCGGAAAATTCGTTATTCAATACAGGTTAATAACATGTTTGTGGGAGAAAAATTCTGATCCATAAATATATAATATCCACAATGTTATTCGAATCTAATCATTTTAGTGTACCGATCGTCATATATCAACTAGTTGAGTCGATCTAGTAATGTGTGTCCGTCCGTCTGTCTTTTATAATTTCAATTCTGACCCGAACACCACCACGTTTTACACCCGGAAGGGAATATGGCCATAGAATAAGCATTGCCGTTTTGATTAAGATTGGCCAATATTTAGCGGGTCAAATGGGCTTTTCTGTGAAAAAATAAAAAATTGTATTCTAAGGCGTATATATATTTACTCCTGAAGGACATAGACCGAAAAATTGACAGTATATCCAAGAGGAGTGTTTGACCTTTATATAAATTATATACCATTATGTTGTATACCAATTATGTTGTTGTATGTACTCTGATGTGGAAGTTATGCGTAAATATACAGGAAACTTCCTATATTACCATTGCCACACAAGAGGGCCTAAGTCGTTCTAGACGCACAGAAAATTAGTTAGTGGTAGTTGTGTGTGGTATCATATGATCTGCCTGTCCGACTATATTGCTGGCTTATATTTAGACTGTGAGAAATGTTGTAAAAGTGCGTATTTCAATTTTTGAGAAAAAAATCAATATTGTTTTTATTCAATCCTTTTTTCCATCCGCCATAGGTGGGTTAATATATTAATTGAAAAGTGCACATTACATCCAGAAATAGCCACTGTTTATTGCACTCTTTGCTCCGTAGGTGTGATTGGACCTTATTTCATCCAAAATAACGATGGAACGACTATCACCGTCAAGTCGGGGCGTTATGGACACACAAAACATTTGCAACAGGAATTGAATATGTGGAAATATATAGTAATCTCTTCATTTGAAGTTAAATAATAGGTCAACTTGGTATTTTCCAGCGCGAGAAATTCGGTTTGGGTTTAAAAAAATACATTATCGCTTATTATTCGCTTATTTCACCATGTCATCAAATGAAGCGGTACAAATTGGCAAGGACCACTTATGTTAGCAGATTTTCAAATGGAAACTATGTTATTCATTAGCAAATTATAATTTTCCAATTTAAATGGTCCCTTGCCGCTTCCGTTGTTGACAAATGAAATAAGATAATGTTTGGCAAGACTGTTTTCTCGTAATCAGGTCTGTATTTGTTTTGTACGCATACATTTGTCAGCTATTAGTTTTTAAAGGACTTTTGCTAGTTGGGAACATGTAATAAATATTGGTTTTGACCATCTGCATGTACAAATTATCAGCATGACGGCTTTTGTTTTGTGGACTTCCTCGAAGTTGGGTCAACGAACAGCGTAATTTTAAGATTTTTTTCTTACGCCCAAATTTAAAACCTCGACAACTTTTGCGCGCACAAACCAACTATTTGAAGGCGAAAGTATTCGGAGTCAGGACATTTTTTAAATATGTATCAGAAATAATTGATGTAGTACGAAAAAAAAATGCCGATTGATTGAAATGGAATTTTAAAAAAATGGCACTATTGCCCATATATATCTTACAAACTAAAGCTCGAAAGTAATGGACGGTGCCGACCCTACAAATCTTCAAATGGGTTTTTTTGGTTAATTTGTAACGTCGTTGTAACAATCGGTGAATAACTATGGACAGTAATTTGACTACAAGTTATAGTGGACTTTTAAACAATATATCGTGGTGTTGGACACTATTGGGTCACACAAACTTTCAAGCGGAATATTTAATTGCAAAAATTGCAGACATTGTGAGGTGTAATAATATCAATTTTATCCAAATAAAAATATATTTTTTGAGTTCAGGGTGGGTAAAAAAACTTCTTTGCACAATATATAAATATAGGTCTATGTTAATAAAAAATAAAATAAATTATTATTTTTTATAAAAAATAAGTAAGGTCTCACCCCTTTATATGTATTTCTAAGTGTCTTAATTTGGCAATCCACTTGGTTAGTGGTAAACAACTTTTGTTTTTGCAAAATAGTCAAGTTGAATCCCAGTTTGTTGTTTTTATAAAAAACAACTGTTTTTTATAAAAACATTGGGGCATTGGGGAGAATATCCCAACAAAAAACTAAGGGAACTGATGAGTATCAGTGGCGTGATCCGAAACTATAGTCTTCCCTGCCTTACCCCTCGGCAAACAATGCCATACATTCCCCACTAATAAATAGTTGTTTTTCATAAAAACAACAAACTGGGATTCAGCCTGACTATTTTGCAAAAACAAAATGGAAGGAATCGAAATACATCCATGGTTCCTTTTGAGAATATGCATAGAATCACTTCGTATTTATGATCCGATTTGGATGAAATTTGGCACAGTTCACTTATTTGGCCCAAGGACGAACCCTATTGAAATTGTGGGAAATCGGTTCAGATTTAGATAAAGCTCCCATATAGTTTCGTCCGATTTTATGTAAATGATGCACCAAACTCCCAATATTTGTCCGATTGGGACAACATTTTGCACGGAGTAAAGAATTAGGTCCAACTGATGTTTGCGAAGTTTTGTTAAAATCGGTTCAGATTTCGATATAACTCCCAAATATAGTTTACTCCGATTTTTTGTGAATGGTACACCAAACTCCCAATATTTGTCCGATTTTGCACAGAGTGGTGTATTAGGCCCAGACTGACGTCTGCGAAGTTTTTTGGAAATCAGTTCAGATTTAGATATAGCTCCCATGTATAGTTTCATGCGATTTTTTGTGAATGACACACCATACTCCCAATAGTTGTCCGATTGAGCAAAATTTTGACAAAGCCCTCATACAAATGCTCCAAATTGCCATCCTGAATGTATCTCGACTAAGGTATTTCAAATTTTCACCATAGGGTAGAAAATACGACTCGTTTTGAATGAATTAATGGCGTTTTACTTATTTTATTTATTTGGGGGTTTGTGTCTAAAAATTAATAATAATGGTCGAAATCGAGTAAAAAACGGATCCTACTCAAAAGTAGCTCGACACCACAGCCACAAACTTTGCTGTTGGAAATCAACCGGAATAGAACATATAAATACCAAAATGTTGACGTAATGGAAAAATAAATCGATTGTGTTTTTGAACACACTGTTATAAAATAAAGCCCCAATTAAAGTGTACACATATATATTTAATAAAATTTCCATTTATAATTTATTTGGTATTTAATATTGTCTAAGAGTTTGTTCTTGTTGTTTCAATTAAATTACGTATTTATAGATATTGTAGTAAACTAATTAAGCAGATTTGATTTAATTTTAATATTTAAGGGGGAATTAACTAATTATTATTTTACACAGTACTTACACAGCTAACCTAAAACTAAAGACTTGCTGCTTACTATAACTATGAAGTAGAATTAATTTTCTTGTTGTTGTCGGTCGTTGAAAATAAAGTATTTTCAAAACCTTGATCAACGGCTCTTAACTATTTCACTGTATATTCCGAAGTAATTCAATTTGTTTTGTAGGACACACACATGCTTGTTAAGTCCTAAACGAAATAAAATACAAACTTAAAATAAAAAATGAATTTCGTAAAAAAATAAAAATTTTAGAAATATTACACAATTAATCACTTGGTTTAGAAAAAAAAATATTGAATTTAAAAAATAGAGAACAATTTGATCAAATGCAAACATAGTTTAAAATTATTTAAAATATTTTATATTTAAAGAATTTTTTGTTTTTCGTTAGAGTTTCTCTATGGGAGAAAACATTTACAAAGCTTGAGGTACTTAAATATCATGATTTGGTGGGGGAATTTTCAAATGCCAGCAGATACAGAATCACATGGTTAATATGAATTCCAACTCCAAATCAATGAATGATTCATTTTAGCCATGAAATGTATTTTGAAATTTGTTGGAATTGTAAATAATATTTGTAAATATTTTAGTTTTTTGATATTAGACCCAATATTTTACAAACATTATTAAGCTCTTATTGAAATTCCTCCTTTCCTTTTTTCAACCTAAATATCTACTTTTTTCATAATTCTACGGACTATTTAATTCTACAGTGTGGTCAAATCATAGTCCTGTTTTATGTGTTGTAAATTGATCATCATATCCTGTGTATGATGTTGTTGTTGCTGCTGTTGTTGTTGTTGTTGTTGTGACATATGCGTTTGATGTGAATGCAGATTTGATTGCATTCCATTGGTGTTGTTGTTGCCATTATTGTTGAGATGCAGATTATTGTTATTGTTGCCATTGGTAATATTATGGCTGTTGTTCACATTCACATTACCACTGGGATTACCATTACCCATGTTGTTGACATTGCCACCATTGTTGGCATGTTGACTTTGTGCCGTTTGAGATCCGTTGTTGTTGTTGCTGTTACTATATGCATTACAGGCATTTGTTTGCTGTTGAGGGTTCATTAAATTTGCACTATCACCAGCAGCTGGTATATAGGGTGGATTATTTAACGAACCATTTACATCGCCCATACTTTCCATGCTGTCTGTGCGCAAACACTGGAAGAAAAAAAAACAAGAAGAACATTTTTTAGTTTTTTAGAAACAAATTTATAGAATTTGTTTATAATTTTAATATTTGGGTTTTATTCCCTACACTCTGAGTTAACTTTTAATCGGACATATTATTCCATTGATGGAAACCAATACAAAAATCGGTTTAATTATCTCAAAATGTGGGCATGTCTCCCGCAAATGCGGGATATAGTGACATAGTGTAATTTATATAAGGGTTTCTGAGCAAGGACCGGGAAAAAGTGGAAAAGAACCCCGGAAAGATGCGAATGTTGATTTTTTAGCTGTGAGAAGCTTACCTAAAATATAATGAGCAACGTTTATTTAGAATATTTGAATGCCAAAATATTGCGTTTTGTGGACTCGAGATATCCCTCAATGGAGGAATTGTAGGGTCATCAGCAAAAAAACATAAACTTGACATATGGCGAATTAGCCCTCCCTTAGGTTTCATTTCTAAAGAAATGATGAGAGTATTCACAATAAGGTGGCGTGTGTATTAAACTTGTCTTTCCATTCGGGGCACATAAAGTTTATCAGAATAAAATTGTATGTGGATTTAGCCGTCCGCCTGTCTATCTGTTGAAATCACGATGGAGCTCACGATATCTAAGATAGATCATTGGAATTCCACACATTAATTGCTAATACTCTTACGATGTTTGGTATTTAAAATTGGTACACAAATTTGGCATATAACAGTGTTCCTAAATATTAGGTATTTTTGGCATGTTTTTCAACCAAATTGGCTTTAATTTGGCATATTGGGTTCTCATAAGGTAGCATTCTAAATTTCGATATTTTTATTTTTCAACCAAATGGGCAATAATTAAATGTTTAAGCTTACATTGGGTGTTAAATCTTCATAAAAAAATTTATCATGGCATAGCCACCAAGGTTATAATTCACATTTGCAAAACCAACTGTGTCACCTTCCAAAATATGCCCTCTTTTGTGTACAAAAGTAACTTTTCTCAATCTATAATATCCTTGAAAAAATATTTTCTACGCAGCCAACCCAAGTAGGCTTCACTTTCGTATCCTGATATCATTTCTTATTTTTTCATAATTTTTATTTTTTTTCTTAAAGTTTACTCTTTCTTTTAAGAAGTTTATTTTTCAAAGCTTTCACATATATTTACCTCATTTATCACAGGCTGTTGTGAATTTTGTTGTGACTGTTGTTGTTGCTGCTGCTGTTGTTGTTGTTGCTGTTGCGCCTGCTTCTTAGCACTAACTCTCTTTGGTTTCTTGGCAACTGGTGCTATTGGATTACCATTAGCATCGACCTTTTTGCGTACGTTCTTGGTGTTGGGTAATTTATTATCCTTTTTCCATTTCATACGTCGATTTTGGAACCAAATCTTAATTTGTCTTTCGGACAGCACTAACGTGTGGGCAATTTCGATGCGTCGGCGACGTGTCAAATAACGATTATAATGGAATTCCTTTTCCAGTTCGAGGATTTGGTGGCGTGTGTAGGCGGTGCGTTGACGTTTCGGTTCCATGCCGGGTTGATATGAGCCATTTGCTGTAATGAAATAAAAATAAACCACATATTATTAAATTATTTAAAATTAGTTATAAGGATAAGTTTGAATGTTTTAATATACATAAATGATGTAAAAAATAATATGCTGTCAATTAGAAAAGTAGTTGAAAACGTTTATAACGTTGTCATTCTTAAATGCGGTATCCAAAAGTTCTGAAAAACTTCTTCCCTTTATTGGATTATTTATCTCAAAGGCTGAGTTGGAACCCTTTACCACAAATCCCCTTAATATAGTTGTCAATGGGAATTACGTTCAAATAAGTTTTGATACTGAACTTGAATAAAGTAAAATCTTTACTAGTCTTATGACCCCTAACAACCCTTTCCAATAACAATAATGAAAGAAAAAACTTTTATTTTGATAAGTTCTGTCAAAGTTTTCAGATGAATACAAATGGAGGAAATTGTATCTAACCGAAACGTACTTAGGATATAAATAGACTTAGTTTTTTTTTCTTCTCATTATTTAATGGACAGGCCCAGAAGGGAACAGCAGGTGTGAGAAATGAATTTTATTTTCAAATTAACTCAACTTGATCACAAACCGTTTTAATTTTAATTTTTTTTTTCGTTTACAGCTATGGTCATATTACAACAACAACTGTGGAAGAAAAGGGGTTGCCATGAATAGTGGACAAAAGGGGCCACATCAACGTAGAAGAAGTTACACGATTTTAGTTTTTTTATTTTCTTTTTTCATTCTTTACGCACATCCCGTATACATACAAAACAAAAAATTACAGACCTACAGGCGGCGCGACCACCGTTGTTTCTTGGCCATGGTATCAGCGCCGCATACTGCCATAGACGACGGGGTTATCTGTTACACAGTTGTTACTTTTGCTTGCCATACAATTTCGTCATATCTTTTGAAGTTGATTAATTATCCTGACGCGTAAATGTCAAATTGGAAATGTGAACTAATGCAGAACTCTTTTTTTCGGCGTTCTCTGTGTTGTTGTTTTTTGTTTTGTTGGTTCTATGTTACAGAAGATGGTAACGGACAGTGGTTCCAAATAGGAGATTGAAAAAGAAAAAAAATATTCTTCAAAATAAATTGTGTGACTTCATAAGAATTTCAAGGCTAAGAATAGAGGAAAATGAAATCGAATAAAGTATTTTTTAAAATGCTTATAACCACTATGCCATACATTTTCATTTATTTCCTTATGTCCATGTGCCAAACGAAACCGCCCTCTTTTCTTTTTTAAGTTCATAGACATTTCTCAATGTTCTCACCATATTTTGGCCAGAAGCGTAGAACAAGAAATAACTGGTCAAAAAATATAACTCTTTACGAAGTTAAAGGAAAATACAACAAATGATAAAATTAAATTTGTGTGACTGGGTGGGTGGTCGCCTCTAAATGCACACAGCTGTGGTCTTAATTGTTGATTTTCAATGAAGTATTTCGCTTCGACGCTTTTGACAGATATCCGACAATTGATCTCAAAGGGTGAGGAAAAATGCCTAAATACAATTTGAAGAAAGTTTGACATTGTAATTAATTGTAAAATGAAAATTTGTAAGGTCATTAAAAATTTGAAAATATTATTTATTTTTTGATTTGAATAATAAATTAAAGCCAATTAATGATTGTCAAATTTAAAAGCAATTTTGTTGCCTGGACGATTTTATTTATTTATTTTTTGACGAAAATTCAATATAAAATTTGGAAATTTACAAAGTTAATAAAACTTTGCTACCCTCCACCACGAGAAAGAAATCAACATTTCCACAATTATGGGGCTATACAATTCCGAAAATATATTTGTATCGCCATCGCCATGGCAGAATTATCGAAGGTAGTCTCATTTGATAAATTCATTATGTCAACCCATTTTAATTTGTAACTCATCTATCAACATTATTATTATTATTTTAAAAATGTATGATTTTGAATAAATCCGAATTTGTTGTTGGTCATTTATAGAACCAATTTAAGCAGATAATTTAGTAGAGATCCAAGAATCCTCAAAACATGGAAAATCGGGAGAACATTATATGGGGGATATTTTAATCGTGGCCCGATATTAACATATTATGGCTGTGAGATTTTCTACACAATGTCAGAAATAATTAATTCGATGAGGGATAAGTAAATCGACTTTCGACTAATCTATATTTTGTATTGAAAAGTCTAAAAGTCGAAGTCGACTTCTGATCTTTGAGGAAATTGCAAAGTCGACTTTTCAAGATAGACTTTCGATTTTCTTCGTAAATACTTGGTTCATTATCACGAAGCCCAAATTACCCAAAAATTGCACATTCAAAAACTTTATTTTATCTTTGAAGACACTCTTACCGATTTTGCATTGTGTAAGAAAATTCGATATAAATGCTAAATAGAATGTATAAAACAATGGGGTGCCGAAATTCCGACATTGGAAACACTTTCTGAATAATATTCATATAATATACGAATTATTTTCTTCTTTTTACATAAAATTCGAAGATGGGTATATACGGTCATTTCTTCTGCTACCCCTGCTACTCTTTGGTAAAAACGTATACATAATATAAATGGAATGGCGAAACCTGTATGGCCTACACTTGACAGGCCTTAGTATAGAATTTGTGCAACTACAGGCTACATAGGTCTATTATCTTTAGTACATCACCTAAAAGCCGTAACAATTTTAAATAATTGTGAATTTAATAAAAATTGTTCCACCTCGACAGTAGCAAAGGATAAATTATCATACACCTATCCTATGCCAGATGCTGAGGGCAATCACTTGGGTGGGTTTACATTTTCCACAGACCTCGTATTCTTTTATAATAAAAATATCTAGCAAACAATTTTATACAAAAGAATTACAAACACTTGATGACGGACGCCTTTATAATTCCTTCGACACGCGAAATTTATACGAAAATAATGGAATGAAATGGATATGACTATGTATACGGTTATGGTTGGCTAACGGACAAGAGAATTCCCGCAAAAATATGGAACGTTGAAATGAATTAACTGCATTGTCATTGTATATGTCTCTGCATATGAATAGGAGAAGGACAATGATGATGCAGATGATACATATTACAAACGAAAAAAGGGAATACGTTACATTGGCTCATCACAACAACCGCTACGAGCCATCAACAATGGACAAAGAGTGCCAATTGTGACGATTTCGCTTTTTATTCACTGATGAAATGGCCAATTTATGAAATGAAAATGAAATCCATGGAATTACAAAAAAATGCTGTGTCAGTTTGAGTTGTGTGAATGAATGGGATGGAGGGAAAATAGGGATTAAGAATGTTAATTTTAAAATAATTTAAAAGAGAGGCAGTTGGGAGTTTTGAACTAGAAACATTTTTTGTTTATTACTTATGGAAATGGAAAACACAACAAAATCAAAAATAGACAGGACTTCAATATCAAAAATGAGCTAGATAATAACCGTGGAAATCAAATCAAAGGAAACAATATTCGATTGATCGGTTATTTACAATCGGACATTCAGAGTCAATTTTGATTTCTTTCCAAAATGTTTATTAATTTTTTAATACTGTAATTGTTGTTCCGCATTTTCGAAGATCTAAAATTTTAAATCTGAGAATTGTGCGTGTTATTTGCAACTTTTTCCTTTTGCGGCACTATCTTTAATAAAAATAGTAAAAAATATTTTGTTTTATCAGTGAAACCAATTAAAATCTCATTCTACCAAGTCCGAAACATCTGTATTATGCTGGAATTAGTATGAACTCACATACACGATCTGATAGCACATGCGCTCATTCACAACTTTTTTGTTGGCCTGCCGTCTCTCTCAATTTATTACTACACATTACAACAATTACGCGTTCAATTTAAGTTCGTACATTTTTGGATATTTTCAACAACAACAAAAGTATGAAAAAAATACCGCCACCGCATGTTGCTGCTGTCGTCATACCCCACAATTTTTGACTTGTATGTAGCACAATGATTTATTACTCGATTATGACTAAACAATTTTTGCCATTTGCCAGACAAATGGACGTAGTCGACGGGTGTATTGAAGTTCTATATACATACATACATTTTTGTTTGTGCATGTAATGCCAGCTGAAATGCAAAGTGAGTTAAGCAAAAATACTGAACACATATTTGCGATATGTTTGTCTTTAATTTGCGAATATATATTTAAAAATAGTAAAATATTCCTTATTCACGAAGCACAGACTTGTTTCGAATGAAACGAAATCCTCCGACAATTCTTGAAAAAGAAATCTGATTTTCAAATAAAAAAATTCGAAAAAGTTGATTTTTTCAATTTGAATATTGCTCAAGTGCTTCGGCATGAGTTCTGATTTATTCGCGTAGAAAAATTCCTAATTACTTGCGGACAGATTTTTTCTATAGAAAAATAATTTTTCAAGTACTGAGTTTATATTTCTTAATAAAAAAAATTACACAGATATTGAGAATAATTTTGTCCGGCTTATTGGAGGGTAAGAAACATATCTGGAGAAAATTTTTGATGTTATTCCCGCGCACTTTCGATATATATAAGATTTTCTTAAAACGAAGTACCTGTAATTTGACATACCGCGTTTTTGGAAGTCCATGTTTTTACATAACCCTCATTTTAATCTCCACGTACTTTTGATACCTTCGAGTTTTTAGCCACATTTTCCAAACGAAGTACCTGTAATTTTACACTCCGTGTATTCGGAGGGCGATAAACATCTCTACAATAAATATTCAAAATAGATTAATGCCTTGAGAAAACCTGCCGGTCTGTTTACGACATTTTCAATATTTTTCGTCCATTTTTTTTTTCAATTTGGGGTTGTAATTGGCATTCTGAGAGGATGAGAAAATGATAATGATATAGGTCCATGTTTTGACATATCCACCATATAAAGTCCCGACCATTTTCGGTTTTTACCACTATCCATTTTCTTAGACCTCATACAAAGGCCGGCTTAATTTCCTGTATATTGTAATTCCTAGTCCGTTTTTCCAAACTGAGAGTCTGTAACAT